CCATAATTAAAGTATTTTTCGTCATCGATCGTTGAATCTATACTCAAAATAGCTACAAGATATTACCGACATTCAAAATAATAAAGCTATAACTAAAGAATATGAATTTAAAACTAAAAGATATAGCTAAAACAGATTCCATAATTTCAGAAAAATTATACACTAATTAAGTTAAAATAAAACAAATGAAATAAGTTTTTCAATTTTTTTCCAAAACACGCTAAGCAGGCACATCGATAAAGACATGACTGCTTCATCGTGAAGTCTCTTTTATATAATAAGAGAATACTAGTTTGTATCTTTAATATTTTATTATTTTCTGAGTATAATAATTGGAGCAATGAAATGTCTCATTTCAATATATGCGGACCATAGACTATATACGTCTAGTCAATAAGTCACACGGACAGCCTACAGTTACTGATGCTATTTATTTTAATCTTCAAATAATTCGTCTGGTCCCTTTTTTTCTCCTTTTGAGTTAATTAGAGTTTATAATCTAATAGTGTAAAAGCATTTTTTTTTATATAATATGATATAGCTTGTTTTCTTACTAAATGTAACAATAATGAACGAAAGTAGTGTACATAGAGCGCACTAGGCTCTCTATCGACAAATATCATGTTTTCAACTTTTACTTGGGTTGTCGGCCTTTGAAAAATCTTTCTAATAAGAGAAGTACAAACAAATAAACAAAAAATGTCTAAACACTGTATAAATACTATCGAAAAGCAGGGGAACAAACACTTAAAAGAATTAAAAAAATGTGATATGGCATTTCATTAGGAGAGAGATAATGCTTTTTTTGTGTCAAGTATATTTTGAGGAAAATAGATAAAGTTGGGTGATATTGTAGTCCTAAAACAAACATAAGTGATATTACTAGGTAATTTCTCAAATATGGATGACTATCTAGGGAAATTACTCAATTATTTTACTGGTTATGCCTCCGGTATAATTTAAGGGTATTAATCAACACACTCACCTAAATAATAATTAATTAATAAATAAGTGAAATTAAGAGTTGGAGTGCCGTATCAGTTGGGAGTTGGGATTAACAGTTGGTGTGGTGAAATTGTCGGTAGAGACAGTGAGTCTTGAAGCCACATAACTTAATTCTAGGTTATTTCACCAATTGACACTTTTTGCCTCGATCAGTGGCAGAATCAGAACTTTCACTCGGATGTTCAAAATCTGAAGAAATAAATACATGAACTAATTGAAGGGGGTTCGACACAGGGGCGGCTCAACATAATTCGAGGCCAAAAGCGAAATTTTAATTAGAGGCCTAAAATTTAAATAAATTTTATTTGTATTTATTTATTTTCTAATTTTTAGATGTAAATTATTCCTTAATATCTTTTTTATAAATGATTTTTTCAAATATTTTTTAATTATTATTTTTAAGCAAGATTTTATCAATTCAACGTTGAAAAATATCATTTTATTGAGACAATATTATATGAATAAATAATATAGTTCTATAAGTAATAAGTTGATAAATTTTATATAAAGATAAGAGTTAAAATCATAGAATCTGATTCAAAAGTTGATAACTTGGTATACCTTACTTTAATATGAAAAGTTACGAAGAAATAAAAGAATATTTGTAATATACTTAGTTCAACACTTTTCGGCTATTGATTCATATTTTTGACAGAATATTACTCTAACTATCAAAGATTTGAAGAAATAGAGTGTAGAAGAAGTTAAAAAGGATAAATAATGTGAGTGTTGGTGAAGAAAAAAAAAAAAAAAAAAAATAAAATAAATATATATATATATACTTTTTATTATAAATAATTAATTTTTTTCACGAAAAATTAAACATGATTTTTTTATATAGAAATTTGATGCCCCCCAAAAATTGGGGGCCTAAGGCATTGGCCTAAAAATTCATAGGCAAGAGCCGGTCCCTGGTTCGACATATACTATATATACATAAAAAAATCTTTTAACCATATATAAATAGTATAATTTTTCACCGAAGATGGTTCGGATGTACCCCTGACCATAAGGTGGCTCTGCCTATGGCCTCAACAACAACACATCTAATTAGTGGTTTTCTTATCAATAAAATGAGAAAAAAATCATCTAATATTCGATATCGCGATATTTTAAAACCCAACATATGATATCAAGTTCATTGACATGGTGTTACTAGAAGGAAAAAATCAATTTCATGGGATGAAGGCTGAAAATGAAGCAGTAACCTGCATTATTGTATAATTAATTATATTCAACCACCATAGTTTTCAAGATGTCGCAGTAATTAGTGAGTGACATATAATTTCATCAACTGCTAACCTATCAAATTCAACTCATCTCTCAAGGTGGACCGTTTATTTATCATGTTTAACAAAAAAAAAACAACTTAAATTCTTACTCCATTAATTACGACACCACATCTAATATTTTATTTAATGATATCAACCTATAAATAAAAAGGAGGACCTCGTTTATCATTTTAGTTTGTTTGATAAATATAGAATAGTTGATTTAAAATGTCTTTTTCGAGTAACCTTATAATAATGTATTGTACTTCAAGAAAGAAAGTCATTAATTTTGAGCATAGAAATCAAATAAATTTAAATCTAAAAATTGAATCCGTCCAATTTATATCATAAATTCACCACCCTTTTTAAAAAATTATTTTTAAAATCTTTAATTGGCCCCACTCTGAAGTCTGAACCCTTTGAAGGTTTAAGTTCTCTACCATATTCCAAATTCAACTTCCTTCGTTCCTTACTAGACATACACTTTCAATTTTATACAATAAATAGGAGATAGTTAATAAATTGATCAATTTTATTATTTTGTTTTTGTGTTCATACTCTATTAATTAACCTCTCTTAAAAAAAATGTTGGATCTTTATTGTTTAAATTTTTAAAGATCATATTAATTGTAGGGGTAAAATGAAAAAAATTACTCCCTCCGTTTATTTTTACTTGTTACTTTTGACATATCAAGAAAAGACAATAATTTTTTTTCATGTTTTACCTCATCAATAAATACTTATTTTTCAAATCAATTTTCAAGACACGATTTAACATGGGATAGTTTGATAAAATACCTATATCAGTAATTATTTTCTTAATAGTGTGACAAGTCAAAGTGTAACAAGTAAAAGTGAACCGAAGGAGTAATTAATTTTGTTTTAATTCAGTAATTGAAGTACTCCATCTGTCCCTAATTACTTGTCCACTTTTAAATTGTCACACCTATTAAGAAAACAATAATTGATATAATGAGTTTATCATTTAATCCCTATTAATTATGAAATGGATGAATTAAAAAACTTGCGATTTTCAAGAAGTTTTACCTTTTTCAAAGTAATTAATTGATGGTATAATAGGTAAAAAATTATCGTTTCTTGATTTGTCAAAATTGACAAGTAATTATGGACAGCTAAAAAAGGAAAAATAGACAAGTAATTAGGACATAGGGAGTATAAAAACAACTATTCTAATATGAGACGTAGAGAATATAAAATAACTATTTTTAATGAGAATAGTAATTGTAATAAATATCCTATTAAGCAGATCTACAACTATTGTTGAGAGGAGTAGATGAAGGGACCCTAGGTGTAACTGAGATATAATAGCTCAACTCCTGAGTGGGGCCTGGGAAAGACCATCCAACTGCTCAATTGATTTAGGAAAGAATGTGAAGATTGTAATAAAGACTCCATAAAGTGATACATACATCACCTCTCTCTTTTTTTATTTTCTCATTTTAAACTTGGATTTCAGTGCCTCACTCCTTCCAAATTACTAACTCTTCATACTAGCCATGGTTGTAACACATGTAAGTAACATAATATTTTATTGTACCACTCTTGTTCATTGCAAAGTTTACTGAATCAATTGTTTGTTTGTTTTAGGAATTAGGATTCTATTTTTTGAAGTATAATCTTGATAGCTTTCTACAACATAACATAGATTTTGAGTAGTTCTTGGTGAACTTCCATCCAAGATTGCTTCACTATTCTGCTTTGATAGATCACCGGTCAATTCAGAATTAGATTGGGTGGATTTATAATAAGTGTGTTCTTACTACATATAGTGTCTTTTATTTTACTTTATGTGTATACAAAGTTTGAGTTGAAAGTAATGAGTAGTTGAACCCGCGTAACCTATCCTAAATCCGTTTATTTCTTGTTTGTAGTGGCAGGGGTTGTGTACACACCGACCTCCCCAGACTCCAGTTGTAGAATTATGTTGGATGTGTTGTTGTTGGGGAGTGGTGATTTTGCATCTTTTGGCTTAATTTGTATCTTACCAAGATCATGAATAAATCTAAAGACAAATGATTATATAGCCGATCACAACTAATTTGAGATTGAGATGTAATTAATTAATTGATTGATTGAAACGGTGTTTTTAGGAGCATGAGGTACCTAGTGGATGGCCACTTGGACTTGAAAACATGAACATAAGGCTTAGAGTAGCTGAGAGATCTCAGGCTGCAGCAGCATCCCGTTTATACGTATCTTCGCCTAGTTTCTCATCTTTTTCATCCTCCAGCCTTGACACTGAGGTAATTTCTCTAATTGTTTAATTTCATAGTACCAGTAAGATACTAAAGTTACTTTTTTGGGATTTGTTTTCAGTCTACAATGTCTTTTTTCCAAGATCAAAGTGTTTCTCTAGGCCGACTTATCGGTATTAAACCAGGAAGCAGAGGAAGATTGGAGTTTTCAAACAGAGTTCATAATGAGAATGCTTGTCTTAGAAGATCAGAGGCAGAGGATTACAAGGGACAACAAGGAGATAATATGTCACACAAACTTTGTGTTCCATTGCTACATAACGTGTTAGAGAAGATGAGTCGTAGTAAAAGTAATTCACACTCACCTAAAAACTGATTTTTTCCACAAATTGATTGTGACACTAGTGATGTTGCTTTGTCACTTCTGTTTTTCTTTTGTTTTCTTCTTTGTATTTTGATAATAAAATAACACAATTGTAGACAAAAAATTACTGCCAAGACTAAAGTTTTAAAAAATGAAACGCGCCAGGTAGGGGTCGAACCTACGACCTTCTGCTTAGGAAACAGACGCTCTATCCACTGAGCTACAGGCGCTTTGTTGGTATGATTTCTTTCTGTTTATATTTAAATAATCTTTCTAAGCTTTTGCATAACCTTTCCAATAATAGATTGTTATATGAAAAAGAAAAAAAGTAAATTTTAATAGGTTTTAAAAACATTTCAACAGAAATTAAATGATTTGACATTATCACATATCTCAAGAATTGTAAATATATAATAAATGATTAAAAATATCTTGATATCTAATAATTTTTTTCTTTTACATAATTTATCATAATATATGTTTGATAATATAATTGTCTTGTTAAAAGTGAGTGATGTTTTTATGTAGCGATTAAACATCACTTTTTCTATTATTATTTTTACATGAAAAATATAGAATTTTATAATTTTATGGTTAGAATAACTCCTTGTGAAGTAAAATTATGTGAAAGTTTTGGATAATTAATATTAGTTATAAATAAGTTAAGACCGTTAAAAATATACATCACAACAATATAAATAATAATTTTTAGAGACAATCTACTTGTCTGAGGTCAAACGTTCACCATTTTTCGTTATTGTTACTTTGTTAGTCTAACAAAATTTATAGAAGGAGAAAAATAAATTTTAAACGACAGCAAAATAATATTGTTGACCATTTTAGAAATTCATTCTTCATTAAACTGCTGCTTTGAAGGCCCTTCTAGATGCTTCATCAATGCAACTTTACGACTTTTTCAGAAATATGTATGTATAATTTTTTCATTATGAAAGTACAAGTAGATCAAAATATTGGATTCTAGATTCATTTTAAAGAAATATTCTCGAACATTAAAAAATTAAAAATGAGTGTAACCTAGATAACTCAAACACTCATCAATGACTTGGGATATAAAAGACAACAAATCTATGTTAATAGACATATCTTTTGTAGCTTAAGATATTACTTTTATTTAGAGCAGATTTTATTTCATATTCTTCAAATTAAACTTGTCGAAAATAGTCATAATTCACACCAAAAAAATTTAGAAGAGTCGAATGAGAAGGCAAAAAGGAAAAACATTAAAAGGACGAAAGCTTTTGCCCAAGTAAGATCATATACATACCAAATGAAAAATGATCAATACAATTTTAAGGAGACCACAAAATAGCAAGAAAAACATACATCAAAGGGAGTAAACTATGAGATATCCAATGATGATAACAAATCATTCTAACCAGAAAAGTTCCTATGTTTTGAAATAATATACATAAAAAAATTGACTAACACTTCAATCAACTTTCAATCCTTAAAGTACTCATAATATCCACTGATAAAATTTAGTAAAAATAGATAATAGCAACGTAAAAACCAAAAAATCTGGGCATGCAAAATTATTAACTCTCAGAGGATTTTCTAAAAAACACAAAATCTCATCCTTGTATATGAAGGAATGACGTTGTTGATGAAGAAATTAGAGATTTGTAACAGATTCTTTTATCATACCTTCAACAGTTCCAGTAGAGAAAACATGCTTGAATACTCAATTAACGTTTGTCATATAATTTGTACTAACAAGGACTTATAACAATAATTTTGTAGAAACATAAACAACAAAGTTCAAAGCATATACTCAAAAATAACAATTAATAATATAAGCATAAATTAATGACTGTAAAAAACATACCAAGATCTGTAGCAATAGAATGAAACAGAATGGAAAAACAAAACAATGGTGTCAATGAGTCATTTAACATGAGCAAAGTACACAAATATTTAATTGTCTAGAAGAAGAAGAAGAAGAAGTTCAAAATTTACGTTGTTTTAAAATGAGAGAAAATTCCTCTATTTATTGACAACAAAGGGTCGTGTGAACAAATGCTTATTGTGTCTTATCAGAGAGGTCACAACTCTTTGGAAAAGTTACAACCCTTCAGGGATGGTCACAACCTTTCATAAAAGTCACGACTTTTCATAAAAGACTTTTTATAAAAGTCACAACTTTTCATGAAAGAGGAATGCTAGTTTTGGAAATAAAATAAATTAAAAGGGAATCCTGGCATGTGGTGGCGCCACGTAGGCGGGTCTAGAATTTTCTTTTATATATATATATATGATTATCTACTCTCTTTTTGCTTATTAATTCCTACTCTAGAAAAGGTGAACTCCTTTGTCGAACAATTACACTATATAATGATAACTTTTATTTCATGTATATATGATAATGTTGGGTTGTAAGATATTCATTCAGGATAATGTTGCCGTTCTTACATGGATTTCTATTACACTTCCAATAAGTAATCTATTTGAGTCTAAGTCGCCGTACTATTTAGAATGTCAGCAAGTAATCCTCACTTGATAAACTGGAATTAGCTATATAATTAAATGAAAAGTTTTTATGAAGTCCAAAAGCAAATTAGTTCTTTCGTTCTGTCTCAAAATCAAAACCACCATGAACATCATCATAACCCCTTGAAGTTGCCCAATGTGGTGGCTAGTGAGATCTCCTCTTAGAAAAAGTTGATTAATGTATTCAATACCTCTCACAACCTCGCCCACATCTTCCCAAAATCGTCTTTTAATTTATCCTCCTCATTTGAGCCCTTATGTGGTACGTTTACACTAATTCTGTTCAAGGTAAATTATTTAATGACTAGTTTAATCGCTATTAATTTATCATTCACTCTCCTAACCTCTACCACTTGCTCCTAAGCTCCCTATCTACTAAAATGTTTACTCCATTTCTATTCCTCGAAACTCCAAAGTACCACACTTCAAATCTGTCTACATCTCTAGCCTTAATAGTCATTCATTTGGTCTCGTGGACACATGCTTATGTCAATTTTTTTTTTGAGAATCTTCACCAATTCTATAGATTTCCCTATTACACCCTCAATATTCCAAGATCCAACTCTAAGTCTAGCGATTCTCTTGCCACCCTTGGCTTCCGCCCTCATCCCCATTCGAGAGCGCAATCTTACTCTACCATTATTCACCAAAGTCATAACACACTATGACAAACAAAAAAACAAAATAAATAATGGAAAACTAAATCACCTAATAAATAAGCAAGCTAAAGAAGAAATTAGATGATATGTAGTGTCATTGACAATTAATACAAGTGAGTTATTTTTTTGGATTGGGATTGGGATTGGTAAAAGAAAAATAGAAGATAAAAAGAACTAGATTCTAGTTAAATCTCATTCTTAACTTCTTCAAAACAAATTAGTGACCTCTAATGCCATTACTCTTTCTTTTGTGGTCTTTTTATCTATTACAACAAAAAGACTGGAACCGGCCCGAAATCTCAGAACCTAAAACCCCAGCAAAGCCCTTTTAGCATTTCACCGGTAGAAACACATCTCTCTCAGAGTTTTCCCCGATCCGAAAATGGCCACTTTCGCCGCCAGGTCCGTCCTTCGCTCTGCCACTTCCTCCGCCAGAACCGCTGCCACGAGATTCGCCGCCGGTGCCAAGCCCAAGGCCGCTCCTTCTCCCTTTCGCATGCCCACTCAAAAACCCCTTGCTGCTCGCATTTTCAGGTCACGGAGTAAACACAATGTTATATTTTGTATATTTCATCGATTAATTGAGTATTAATATTGTGACAAGATATTGAAGTTTTTGAATTTGGCAATTTATATGAAGGTCGCCTGTTGAAATGAGTTGTGCAGTGGAAACTATGCTTCCTTATCACACTGCCACTGCTTCTGCGTTACTGACTTCAATGCTCTCTGCTACTCCTCGGAGTTATGGTTGGACTCTTGAAGGTATAATTTCATAGGCCTTCATTTTGCACTTCTTATATTGATCTATGCTTGTTATATAAATGTTTTTGTCTGTATGTAGTCTGTGAATGTGTGGAATTGTAGTTACAATGAGATTGTACCATGTATTTATTGGACTGCGTGAGCTAAAATTTGTAGCTTTACATGTTCTCTATTACTCTGTTTATCCTTTGAGTGGAGTGGTAGACGATGTGTAGGTAGTGTTGTTTGCATGGCATTGTGCTTAGCAGTAGTGAAATGTGCTCATTTGTTTTAGCATTGAACTTCAAAAGAAGTTTTTTGACCCTCCAGTCCCCTCCCTTCACAATGAAAGAATAAGTGATGATGAACAAAAAGTATGTGTATTGGGCAATAGATTTAATTGAATTAAATAGGAATGTTCATTTTACCTTCTTCAAAACATCAAAAGACTATTCATCGATAAATTCGCCTGTTTCAACTTTTAAAATTCAGTTTTTATGCATCAGCCATAGTTTTTACTACATGTTACTTCCTCTTCCTCCAGTAAAGGTAAACAATGCATATTCTTTGATCTTGTAGGGCAAAAGAGGACTAGATGAAGATCATGAAATGAAGTTCAAGTTATACGAATATCTTCTTATGCCGGAGTTTTAAGTAACTTGTAGCAGTTTTTTCTTTTTCCTTTTTTTTTTGGCTTCACTTAGGGTTGATGAGGAACCTCACATCTGAGATTTTTCTTACAAAATTAAGCTTGAATTTGCTGAAAACTTGTGGATTTGCCTAGTAAAAGATGTTAGTATATGCAGAAAAAGGATGATCTGGGTTTACGCTACCATTCTTTTTCTTTCCCCAGTGTTGAAGAATGACTTAATCATTATTTACTGTCCAAATATCTAGACAAATTTGTTGTTTGATATTAAATTGATGTGAGGATGCAGCTTTTCATTATCATAAATATTGCTGAAATGCTGTTCATTGTGTACCGACACTTATTGTAAATTGAAGTGACCTCTAATATATGTTAGAGTTGCAATTTCTGATACTGTAGTGTCTTTTTGCCTTTTTTTTTTTACCTTTCTAATCTCTGAAGAAATTTCGGCAGTCGCTAACTCCCAACTGAAACTCCTTTAGTTATTACGACTTCAGCTTGCATTCCTAAAAAAAGATATACTTTGACATAGTGTTAGGACTTGAAATGTACATATAAATGATTCGTGTTGTCTGATTGTAGATTGATATCGAAATACCTATTTCTTGCAGATTTGTGAATCATGCAGCTGGTATTGATTGTTGATGAGTTAATTTCATATTAAGCTTCAAGAAAACTGAATCAGATAGTCTGTGGGACCAAAAGTTGCTTAGATATGAATTTTGAATTTCCAGTTGTAGTTGTTAAGTTGTCAGCATCATTCTAATACTTGATATTTAATCAGATTGCAATGATGATGTATGATGAATGTCAGAGAGTTCAAGCGAAGTTTTATATCCATGCAGTCTAAGCAAATGATAAGTAGAGTACTGAATGAGAACTTGGGACTCTTACCTTTCTGTTGAATTCTGGCTTCTGTTGGACTGTATTTTGGTATCTAGACGTTGGAGTCTTGTGGAAGGTCATTGTTATTAGATTTTGAGAGATGTTTAAAGCCTTAATTTGTCTCAAAAATGTTTTTATACAAGCCTTAATAATGTCATCTTTAACCTCTGGTGTTTTATTGACCATATTTTAGTTTCTTGGGAGTATTGTTTGAACTTTGAATCATCTAAAGTTATATATTTGCTCCAAGTTGCTGTTCTTGCTTGATTATAGATTGATGTGAAGATACTAGCATTTGATTGAGTTGGTGCCTTAGATAAAATTCCAGATAACTGAATTGGATAGGCTGAAGGCTTCTTGCTTAGCTTACAATTGTTTCCTTTCTCATTTACTGTTAGTTTAATCATGCTTAGGGTCATTCTAATACTTGGTATTTAATCAGATTGCAATGATGATCTATGATGAATGTCGGAGGGTTCAAGCGAAGTTTAATGTCCACACACTCTTGAGAGAATGTCTGAAAAATAGAGTACTGTATGAGCTCTGATGAAGAAATATATACTTTCTTCTGTGACTGTCTTTGAATTATCATTCTTATCTCTTCCCATTTGACCTGTTCCAGTAAATTCTGGCTTCTTTGGAGGCAGATGCACTTTATTTGTTCAACCCCCTTTAAAGCTTCTAGTGCTTATGACTATACGAGAAAAATGAGTAAATGAGTCGAACTCAAGGTATCAGATTTATAATATCTTTACCAGTTTAAATGAAATAAATCAATCTTCTATCTTTGATTTAGCTATATTCTTGCCAAATCTGTGGAAAGTTCCAAGTTTTGTCTGGGAAGTTATACGCATCCTTGGATACATTCAAATTCTGAAGAATGTAATATGTGGGTTCTTCGACTGAGCTAGATTTTGACGCTGGGTGGTATTCCTTATAATGTGCATCTGCCTCTGATTTCAAATTTGATGAATACGTAATGTTCCTAAAGTCTGATTTGAAGTAAATAATCTAGTGCAAGATTTTCTTCAATTGCCAAATGAAGAAACTGAATGTGTAGAATGGTGACAGCAGAGTAGTTGAGGTTAAATTCCAAGTGTTAACTTAGCTTTCACTTCCTTTCAGTTTGAAGACTTTGAGTCTTCCCTATTTATGCTATGAATTCCCTATACGACTGTTAACTTCGACTCCTTCACATGCCTCTCTCCCCACTCCTTCTTAACTGACTTCTGATTGTTATTGTATGGGTAATTTACTTGGTTATATCTGTTGCATTCCTCTGTTGCATTCCCTTTGTTCTTGCATTGTAGATGGATGATTGTTAAAATGTTTTGGGACGCGGTGCATGTCCAATGGATCTATATTGATGACGTAACACTAGAGCTTGAGTCTTATTCTTGATGTATTTTGGAGTGAAATGATGATCTTTGTTTTCCTTGGCACACAGTAGGGTTTCATTACCAAAAAGAGAGACGTATAATTCGTTTCTATATAAATAAATAGATGTCTTGGTAGAATATTTAACTATTCATTATTCAAGCATCTGCAACGATGCTAATGAAGTTTCTCTCCTTTTCTTTTTCCGTTTAAAGACGCTTTCAAATTCAGTTCTCCTTTGGTAATAATAACTCTTGGTCTTTTCATTGATACATCTTCCAGTGCTTTACTTTCACCCAGTAAAGTTAAACTACGGGTCTTAGAGAAGTAGAAAAATTATCCAAAAATGTGGGATTGTAAATATTAGAGGTAAAACAATCTGCTTTCTCCTTGAGCATTTGAATATTATGTATTCACAATTAGTCATCTTGAATGGCGTATGGTTTGGGTCCTCGAGTCAATTAAACAAGCAAACAGATAAGAATAGATGGACCTCAAAACATCACTTGTAGAGTATGTATTGGAGAGAAATTTTATTACTCATTTTTTTGAGTAAAAACATTCACACTTGTTATTAACGCCATTTATTTATGAATGGAATTGTTCAGTTTAATGTAAACAGAGTCCAGAGAGGAAACAGTATATTATCAATATCACCACAATGAGATTTGGCAGTTAATTATGAAGTGAAAAGTACCCAACTTTGAAATCTTTTAATGGAGTTTCGATTTCTGAGATGGCGTATTACGATCCATGAAGAGAGTGAAACCCATTACCCATATAGAACAAGGAAAAATAATAGTAATAGAAAATTACCAGGGGAACATAATCTAAGTCAGAATATGGACTAAAAGCAAGATATATTAATACTAATAACAAGTTATACCCACCTAACACACTCTTGATAAGGTGAATCCTTTTTACAAGGAACCGACATTAGATTAGTCCTACCACATATTAAGAATCTTCAACGCAACAACTAATTTATTGAGTGAGATTTGTATATCAAAAACAGATACCCACAAAAGCAAATTTACCCTATAGCACTTATGTAAACCCACTTCTATTCTTCGACATTCACCAACTCGTACTCAACCAAGGACAAATTGTTTTCTTCATTGACCACAAAAGTTGCAGGCTCACCAGCCTCAATACGGCCCCATTTATCAACATTTAGCCTCATAGATCCCTTAAACATGTCAATCTTCGCATTCCGAATTATGATTGTGGCATCTGGCTTCATCAAGTCAACTGCAAAGAAGTCGAAGATGTCACAACAAACAAGTTAAGCTTCCCCCTGAATCCCTTGAGCAAAAATATATATTAAGGAGATGCAACAATTTTGTAAACATTTAGGTATATCACAGTCACAAGAAGTAGCGCTGGGAAGGCATCCTCTCATTCCTCGCCACATAAACTGTCAAAGCTGTGACTAAAAAATATTTTTTTCCCTCTTTTCCGGGAGGCAAAATCTGATAATTCATATTTGATCATGAAGAAACAAAAACAAAGTTGCACAGTAAAAGCAAAAACTGAAGGAAACACACCCTTTATTCACAAAATCACATCAATAGAACTTCATTCTATACTAAATATCATGTTAATTTGACTCAGACAAAAGCATTGAAAACTAAACAGTCAATCGACAAGTTATTAACATGGTCACAATTCTAGTCACCACCTTAACAAGCTTCAAAATCAAACAATATTTTAAACTAAAGCGCTTGCCAATTCCTGCTTAATATTTCTTGGACTACCATGTAGAACAGAGCCATGAATACCTTACCAAGTAATGTGAACTTCACTCTACAACAGGTTAACTAATACTTCCACTTGAACAAGGAACCAGAACTGGAAATGTTTTTATGTATCGGACATTAGGGTCTGAATTCAATAGGAGTCTGGTGTGAATTTACATTTCATTTATAGGCAAACAGAAAATCTAGCAGCCTAGACCATGAATATATTTTAGAGATAAATGGTGATCCCGTCTAGAAAACACCTGAGTGGTGAGGCTTTTTGCAATTTTACACTTGTAAAAGAAGGTAGTGGCTATTTAACAATTTAACTTAATCGTATCTCGCCTTAGAAGCTGATCACCTACAAATCATCTAATTTCAATACTTATCCAACTTCTTCCACATTTCTCACTCCCCACATATCCCGTGAATATCAACTTGTCAGAATCCCTCTGATTACTCTACACTCTCAAAGATCAATTCCTTCCCTCATTCAACCCTCTTTACTTCTTTCCGACAATCACCACCATAAATCACAATAAAGCAGTCGCAAAGACATCACCCAGCAAAAATCAGACAAACCAATAAAGGAACAAGATGTTTATTCCATCATTGGTCTCGCATCCTTTCTCAATACAAAAGATGAATGCCTTTTCGGCATGAGGAAAGGAACACTGGAATGAGTAGGCTAAGGTTCATTAGCAAGTGAGGGTAGGTGGAAGAAGGGTTTAGATTTTCCTTTTGAAAACTAGTCAAAAATGAAAAGTGTATCTACAAAAGTTCTTTTTTTAAAAAAAAAAGAAAAATGAATTGAAAAAGTAAAACAGAACTCGTATCTCTGAAACTGAAATGTTTTTATTTCAAACACTGCCTAATCATTCCAAAGTGACGGGTGTCGAACAGGCAAAAAGTTTTGTTCTTCTATATGCGGTTTGACTAGGTGACAAAACTAATTGCACCAGCACTTCACCCCTACAACAAAATGTTAATGCAACTCCTATCTTTTCCATATGGTGAAATCCATCACCCGGAACCCCCTAACCATAAGTCCAGCCACGACTATTTCCCACTTTGCTCCCATGAATACTCGAACCAGAACCTTAGAGTTAGATGTGGGTGGCTTTTAAGTTTTAACACTTTGTTATCCCTCTCTTGTTAATACAGTTCCACTCAATAAACTACACAAACATATTTCTCTTTTTGATTTTTGAAAAGATGGTACATAAAAAATGTAGATTCACATAAAAAGCACACTTTTAGATCCCTTAGAACATACATCTATAACTGCATCCTAATAACTAGTCTTATTTTCAATCACAACCCACCCTCCTCTGACCGAATTGTCGATCACTAAAAACCATAATCTACAAACCACATAAAATCAAACAGATCACGAAAATGTCAAAAAAAGACCCAATTTTTCAACTCAAAATTGCAAACAAAAAGTGATGAACATAAATCCATAGAAGGGTAAGGAACAAACCTTGATCGTTACGAGCAGTGAGAAGAATGGATCCAGTTTCATCCCCAACAAGACATTCAGCGATGCGAGTATTCTGTTGAGGGCGTGCTGGAACACGTAACGATGATGGGTTCCTAGGTTTCTTACTGAGTACTGTGTTGGCATTCACAATCTTAACAGTAAGATTGTGACCGGTTGTTCCTGGTTTCAACTGATCCACTTTGGTGAAAACTGGCTTTCTCATCGCTGGCTTCGCCGCCGTGTTTGCTCCACCGGAATTAGCCTGTTGTCGGTTGCCGGATCTTGTTGCCATTTTGGTTTGAGAAATGGTTGAACAAAATTCTTTGATTTTTTTGGGAGATCGGTTTTTCTAACCCTAACCCTAATCGTGTATTCAGGAATTGAAGAAAATGGATTTGCTTGAATGGTTTGCCGTATGTGGCGTTCACGCTACCAAAGAGGCGACGTCGTTTCGGTCTGCTTATAAGGTAACTACCCCTTTTGGCTTTTTAATTGCAATTATTTCATAAACTCTTTTCAAATGCATACCTAATAAGAAATATTATCCATTATGAGCTAATTTAGTTGGTGTAACCTATAAATTAACAAGTGGTCTCCCCAAAAATTCACGTATTGTTTGCTAGCTGGATAAGAATAAAGTTATTCATGTACTCCCTCTGTTTCACAAAGAGTGGTCTAGTTTGACTTGACACGGAGTTTAAGAAAATAAAGAAAGCTTTTGAATCTTGTGGCCCTAAATTAAAGTTATGTCAAATGTACAAAATTGCCTTTTAATCTTGTGGTCTTAAACATGCCACGTGGAAAGTTAAAAATAAAATGTTACCAAAAAAGAAAAGGGGCCATTCTTTTTTAAACAGACTAAAAAGGAAAGGAGACCATTCTTTTTGAAACGGAGGGAGTATTACTTTTTTATAATTTTATATTACATTTAATAGGTAGATAAAAATTAAAATATTCATGTAAAAAATTAATATTACAAGGTTTGATATATTTATTGGGAGAGATGATAAAGTGTGATTTAAAATAAAATCAAAATTGAATTAACCCAAAAGTCAAGTCATATTGTCATTTGCAGTAAATACAACCATCTCAGTACTGAAGTAGGTAAAACTTTTCACTCAACTCAGCTTTAATGAAAATGAAATAATCAAATCAATAATTAGTAATTTATTAAAAAAATAATCTTTTTTTATATTTGAGAATAATGAAACTTATGAACTTTTCACTTACCTTCCTAAATGTTACTAGTATATCAGTTTCAATTATTGTGTCGCTATTTTTAAAATATATTCTAAAAAAATTAAAAAGAAATTTATTACTATTTATCTTTAAAGTGACATTCTTTTTATAACCATAAAAATGACATATTTAAAATAATAAGTTTTGAAGTTATATAATATAGAGATATTATGATGTGTTTAATATTATAAATTTAATATTTTAAATTTCAGTTTAAACTTCATATTCACTAAAATAATTTTATATAAATCATGATAGAAAAATATAATATTTTTAAATTATAAAATTTACTTTAAAAAATTAAACGAACTATAAAGGAAAAATACTTTTTCTATTTCAAAACAAATATCGTCTTAACTCATTTCACGTCCAATAAAAATAATAATCAATACAAGTATAATTTATAAGTTATCCATATTTCGTTACTCATAGATATTACCTGAGTATTAAGGATCATTAAGAAGAAATATTTCTTTAAAATAAAAGTATAGCTAAAATTCAACGGGTAAATAGGGATCTGTAATAATAACAAGTGTTTGAAAAATGTAACAATATATTTCACTACGTAAGACTCCTGCCACCTGTCATGTCCCCTGCAATCTCATACACACAAATAGTTTGTTTGGATTTATTTGTCAAATTTTCACTTTACGCTTAAAAAATAATGATTAATATAATAAAATATAAATTGAAGGTTCCAAATAAATTAAGAGAAAAATATTCTACTTGAAATGAAAAATAAAAATAATAATAAATTAAAAAATATTTGATAAGTAAATCTAAAGGAAGATAGTATCCCTTTAATCTTCTCATCAATAACAAAGAACCACCATAACCACTTCCTCCTTAAGCATTAAATAAATGCACAATTATTATGCTAAAATAATTATTAAAACAAAATTTATGAGAGCATCACCAGCAAAGAGAAAAAAAAAGTCAAAACAGTGTTCTATTTTCAAATTTCAACATCCATAGATAAATAAATTATGGATTAATTTAATTCCATCAATAATATTTTAAAAATAATTAATTTTTATTTTCCTTTTTGTGCTTTTATTCTTCATTTTCAGCTTAAATCCATCTCTCTCCCTCTTCCCTTTTCTCCTCTCTTTCTCCATGGATTCCGATTTCTGGACCTCTCGTCTTGCAGCTGCTAAACGTCAGTTAAATTTACAGCAAAACCATTCCTACAATCATCAAACTTCTCAACTGGGTTTGTTTTTTCTTCTCTTTTGGATCTTTTTTTTTTTTCATTCATTGATCTGTAAAAAAAAAATGAGATTTTTTTTCTGTTTATTTAAAAACATAGCAATTAATTTTGTATGATTTGTGTTGAAGTAGATAGGCTGAGCATCGATGATTTCGAGGTTGAAGAAGAGGTCCGACCCGATTTTCCATGCCCGTATTGTTATGAGGATTTTGATATTGCCTCTCTTTGTTCACATCTCGAAGAGGAACATTCTTGCGAGTCCAGAGTAACTGTAAGTTTCTTTCCAAATCATTATATCTAACTAGATGTATCTGTTTTTGATTTATTGTTTGGATTTGCTTATTTGATTTTGGGTAAATACAAATTTGAATATGAGGCTTCTTTCCATTTCCCTGAAATAAGTGGCTTGTATGTAAAGAAGACATATACAGGGTAAAAATCTGGTAAAGGTACAATCTTGGTTGATTGGTCACTGATTACTCTTACATAAGCTATAGGAAGATATTTGAACCATTGGTTTGACAGAAGAAAAGTTTTCTGTTTGCTTAAAATCTATACCAGATTAACTTTCCATCGCTTAGATGCTGGCAGGAATTGGTGGTATATTTTTCCCCGGCGCATCAGTAACAGAGCTTGAGTTAGATCTTGGCACATGCAAGTTGCAACAATGAAACTGCAAGGTCTTATTTTTCTTGTTGATAGGTCAAATTTTTCATTAGTAAACACCAAGTCAGTGTCAAAGAATTTGTAAAAGTTGTGTACATGGCTAAGCCTAAATTATCCTTGTAATAGCTTTGTATGAATATTTTTGGTATAACTTCATTTCTTCAGAGTAGTGGTTAGACAAACATTTTTGTATGTGGTAGAGTAGTGGAAAGTCAAGAACGCCCACATTCAGAAGATGAATGTAGTGGAGATGATGATGCTCAGATGAATGTGTGGGCACACTAGGAGAGACATGATCACGAATGAAGTTTTATGGGGCAAGGTGGGAGTGGCATCCATGGCGGACAAGACGAGGGAAGAGAGATTGAGATGATTCACGCATGTGAAGAGGAGGTGAGTGGATGCGCTAGTTAGGAGGTGAGAAGGTGAGAGATTGACTATAGCAAAAGTTAGGAGGTAGATCGAAAATGGCTTGGGAGGTGATTAGACTTAGACATGGCATAACTTCAGCTTACAGAGGAATGATCCTAGATAGGAAGGTATGGAGGCCGAGGATTAGAGTAGAATGTTAGTAGGTAGCTAAGTGTTAAAGAATGACAAAAGTCTCACATCGGTGGTTAATGAGATGGGTGGACTCCTTAAAAGGCTTGGGCAATCCTCCTCCCTTTGAGCTAGCTTTTGGGGTGTGAGTTAGACCTAAGACCTAATTTAACACTAAGTGTGGCCGCTCGTTAGGTGGGAGAGGGAGGGGGCTAGCCTCATATACTCTTGTTTGTATTTAGTTGTAGTATTTTGTAATCACGCAGTATCTTTTTTTCATTGTCTTTTGCCATCTATTGTTCCATTTTGTTTTGTAGCGTGACATTTTGCTGTCATTTCTTTTTCTTCTTGCGACCCTATTCTGAATAACTTCACTTTTTGAGCCGAGTAACTTCATATCTTCTCCGGTACACACTCAAGACTTTATTTGACGCTGCCATATGCTTCCTCAAGGTTTATGATATCATTTAGACACCCCCGGGGGGTAGCTCAATTGGCAAAAGTTAGGGAACTAGCTCAATTGGAAAAAGTTCGGGAACTTGTATATTAGCTCACAAGTTTGGGTCTATGCCAAGCGAACTAAGTCCATATTTAAGTGGAGAAGGGTAGAGGGGATCTCCCATCATCCCCAACTTTCGAAGGCTGTAGTTGGGCTAAAGATTTGGCTCCAGGCAAATTTCTCGATCATAAAAAAAAATATATCATGTAAAGATCCTGCTTTTTTCTCCTTACACATATATGTTCATAGTAAAAATAAAGCTTTTCTTTTCGCATCTCCTATACATAAATCCAAATTGATTCTATGTTATTGTTGTAATGTCTTCTAAGTTTACGCATTACCACCCTTTCTCAAATTTTCATCGTGCGTCCATCCAGGTCACACACAGCGTTACGGGCATGATGCATTGCACGGAAGCAGCCCTTAGCAGTTCGTATTACTTTTAATATCTTTTTTTTCTTATAATTGGAAAAAAGGCAATCTATCTCCCTTTGCTATGCATGTTGCAACTCCTTATTATAACATCAAAAAGCTTGATAAGACATAATACTCCAACCTCTAGAAGGCACTTCGCCTAATTTGAAATACATGTAGGTGATGCCAGCCGTGTCGGAGTTGAGCCAAGGTCAGGATTTAATATAAAATATTTTCAGTCCTTTATATAGATATCATATGGACAGCATGCGTTTGTAACCTTCACAATTTTCATAGGATGGTTACACTGCTGACGTTATTCTAATAGTGGATTTAAGGTTTATGTGTTGCACTAATATTGGGATGACCAAAATTATCCTTGTGATTGTAGTTGAGAAATTAATCAAACAGCCTCTTGGTCTTTGATCTCATATCTCCAATCAGAGGATATTTGAGTTACAGCGTTGAAGTTATTAGTTGGATGTCACTCCTTCCTGTGCTATGTGCTGAAGAAGAACATTAGAAGATTAGAACAAGTTGTCTGTTCCACTCATTTTGGGCATGCTTCATTCAATACTAATATTTTGTTCTATTAAAGTTGCTTAGTGCCTTCTGCCTTTCCAAGCTAGGAAAATTTTGCTCTTAATCAAGATTGAGTCTGGATTTTATTTCACTAAATCATTTTCTTAGTTCTTTAGTCTGCTTAGAGGCTAGATTACTCCTTTTTTTCATCTGCTCTAGTACCCGAGGAATATGCCGCCTTCAGTTTTTTTTCCCGTTCTTTTCTTACATTTGCATCCCACTTGTGGGACTATATTGGGTATGTTGTTGTTGTCTTACCTTTCTAAATGCAATCTCTCCAGACGAACGTGATGATTACAGCCATATAATGCTTGCAATGTTATTGTTTTTACCATCTAATTGTTCCTCGTATCTTATCTTGTAGTGAGTCTAACCTGCTGGATAAACATTTACCTATTCTGTATGCCTTCCATTGCAGGTCTGTCCCATTTGTTCTCATAAAGTTTCAAGGGACATGCTAAGTCATATTACAGTGCAACATGGACACTTACTGAGGATATCCTTTTCGATTTATCATTACTTTATAAAGATAACTTCTTGTTGAAACAGTATGCTGCAAATTCTTTCCCTGTAATAATTTCCTATCCGGGTGAAGTTTCTTTAACTCTGAAACACGTGCAGCGGCGCCGTAGATTACGTAAAGTTGCAATTCCTAGCAGCCAGGCGCTTTCTCTACTAGGTAGAGATCTTCGTGAAGCTCATTTGCAGGTACTTTTAGGAGGCAGTGGATATCGATCAAGCACTGCAACATCAACCACTGCAGCGGCAGCCAATGACCCCTTCCTCTCATCTCTAGTTTTGAACTACCCCACATTTGAAGCAGAGGAAATTTCAAAATCTGTTTTATCCAGTGTTGAGGACTCTACTACAAAGAGTGTGACATCACAACATATATGGAAGTTAAGGTAGTGATGCTAGTTATTTGTCTTTACAATTTAAATCTACCAAATTCTCCCATTGTCTCTTTAGTCCTTGTATTTTTCAACTCTGTAGTTGAGGTTATAAAAATCTTAAAATGATATATTCGAAAGGTCTTCTACCTTACTGTCTTCATTTTCTTCAGTTTTGACCCTTCACTTAGTGCGGAAGAGAGAGAAAAGAGGATAAGACAGGCTACTGGAAGAGCTGTTTTCGTGCAAGATCTGTTTGCCTCTTCTCTGTTAGCTGACTAATTGGAGGAGTAAGTATTGCAATACAAGATAATAATTTAAGTTGAAAATTCAGATAAGGGGCATCTTTAGATAGTTTATCGATTCGTTTTGTTGAAAAATCCAGTATGTCTAATTTGATGTTTTCTTGATGCAGCATAGTGATGCATAATCATCCATCTCCTCAAGTCCTCTCAATCAAAGATTTGGTCCCTGAGAAAGATTATTACCTAGTTTGTTTTTCGCTTTAATGATATTGTGATATTGTAATTTGTAATCTAGGCATTGCAGAAAAGTAGTTTGTCATGGCAAGAAGGATTTTAATCAGGACAACAGCACTAGATGTGTACCAGCAGTGTTGCACCATTTGTTTTAATTATTTTTCCTTTATAGTTTTCCTCCTACTCTCACTGTTTTATTCTCTTGTGATACAAAGGAGAAAAAGAAAGTTTATATCTCTAATATTTGTTGATGTCTTGTTCTTCCTCCCAGTGTGGTACTCTTTCACAACTCCTAACTTGACCTAAAATTATTTTCATGGACATCATTTATTATCTGTCATCATTGTTGGGTAATGTCAATAACCTGGCTATGGCAATGCCCAGGGTTAGGTGGCCCGGATTGGTATCATAATCAAACATGACATTTGCTTGGTGGACTGCTTTTGCTATTAGCTATAGCTTTTGGTAAGTGCTCCTCAATTTCTAGCTGTCTGACCATTAATATCCAAAATTAAATGTGAGGAGTAGCAAAGTTTAATGTCATACTCTACTCAGGTTGTCGGAGGCAAAATCTAACACTCAGATTGATTGCGGCCCAACATAAATGTGGTTAACTGATGGAGAAAGGCTTAAATAGAGCGATATAGATAATAATATTAAAAATAGGAAGGTATGGGTTCCAATTTCGAAAGAGTCATTTTGGGCTATCTCTTGGTAGTTGATACCACTAGATACATTCCCAAAATTTATGTAATCATAGTTCACAATAATGATGATGATAATAATAATTAGAGGATAGATCTATGATTAAGACCTAATTAACAAATCATTATATAGTTTGAAAAAGATTGGTACCTAATAAAACAAAGTTGCGACAGCCCAGCCATCAATGGGACGGCCAGCAGTTACACAGGTCAGTGCTGTACTACATAGATAGAAAGCATTATGTGGTTGTTGGATGGAAAAAATAAAATAAAACAAAATTTACTCAACTTGGTCCCATTTACTCTTTTTTTTCCTTCATTTTATGTCATATTCAGATATGTGGATGCTATATATTTTTTAAAAGATGATAATCTGCTTTTCTCACTTGAAGAGTGATGAAAAGTTTCTCTACATATACAAGTGAGTCACAAATAATGGGGAGAGAATACTTAAAGTTTGTGGTGGGATGAATAAGATCCCTCGGCTCTTAATTAAGGATCTCTAGTATAAAAAAATCAAAATATTTTCTTCTTTAATGAATTTTACCTGCTTCTAATATTAATTAAATGTGAGACTAGAAACAAAAAAGAAAGAAAGAAGACTTTAGGAGAGAGAAGTAGCTTAAAAATAATGGTTTGAGATATAAAAAGGGACAATTAGTTGAAAAGGTATCGCATCAAAAATAAACTAATAGTTTGACATTCATTTTTATTTCCTTTCCTCGTTACGAATATGTGAAGAAATATTTTATATTAATATACTCAAATAATTCTACACAATAGAAATATTATATTAATATACTCAAATAATTCTACACAATAAAAACAGATTAACAACATCTTTATTTATAATAGTACAAAATGTAATTTAACTAGGACAAATTATTATTCCAACAGTATGCTTTACTATTGTTGTTGTGCTCGCTGTAAATTTATTTCTGTCTGCAAAAGTTTCCTTATATGAACTATATATCGCATATAATTAAACAAAAATGAGAAAAACAAAACACGTAAAGGAAAAATTACATAAATACACAACTTAAGATAACATAATCTCTAAAATTTCCTATCAATTACAAAAATCCTCTCGGATACATCCCTATCCCCTCTCAAGTACATCATTATCTCTTTCGAATACATCCATATCCCCTCTCGAATACATCTCTCTCATTAAGTAAATGTATCATTTGCAGTGTATCGAACAACCAAGGAATGTATCTAAGAGCCATGAAAACTTTCTGGATATCATGTAAATTAGCTCCGAAATGTGTGGAATTTTTGTAAGTTAAACGTCAAGGTAAAATATTAATGTGGGCTCAATTGTCACAGTCCAGCATTATTGGGCCTAAACCACCAAGTGGATCAAATAAGCCCATCCAGGCCAGCCTATAAATCTCATCGATTGTGAATTGATATTTGTATGTCCACGTCATTTCCACCAATGATTTATCCCATTAAATTAAAAATAATAATGCATTTTCACCTTGTTCCCTGTTTGGTCCTTTTTTCTATTTAAAAGCCCCCACTCTGTAAAACATCTCTATTCTCTTTCATCAAAACACTATAAACAAACAGTCCCCAAGTTGTTGTTTAGTTTTATGATCTTTTGGAAAAAACAAAATTTAAGGATGTTTGAATTGTTTGTGCTGGGATGTACTGGTGTTGTGATGTTCCTTCATGGAGCCAATTTCTTCTTCCATGCTCTCTCTCAACATATGGCCATTCGTTCTCTCAGGTACACATTTTTGACTTTTTATCAGATCGATGAGTTTAAATGGAGCGATATGAATAATCATCAAAATTTATATAATATGATTTTAATTAGATTTGATCTTTATTATCGACAATCTTCGCAAATTTGAACGTTCAATTAAGTTTCCGAGTTAATTAGCTTGTTGACTATTTAATTTTAATATATGGTTTTTGAATTTTTTTTATTGGGTGCAGCTTCTTAGGATTTGTTGGTTGGTGAAGATGATGACGAGCTAAAAGTAAGGTTACACCAACAGCAATGTTATTTTGTAAATATATTTCATTTTTTTTTGTTTCTTTTACCTTTTATAAGACAAATGTTGTTGTAGACTTGTAGTACCAATAGAAAATGGAAAAGAATACCTATGATGAGAAAATATATCATCTATATTGTAATCATTGAAAGGCTGTTGCTTATTTTAAGTGGTACAACCACCTTTCAAATATATCAATTGATTTCGTCGTTCTGTATCTTGTTATTTTATTGTCTTATTCTTTTGTGTTGAATATTTTTTTTGAAATCGAGAATATATCGAAATCAGTCTATTTAGTTCATAAAAGTAAGAATATGATTAAAATATTCTATCATCTTTGGATCATACTTATATTATTGTTGTTGTACAACAACCTTAATTTCAACTCTATTTTTTACTATATTAAGGACTAGTAGATTGACAACAAGGTTTTTCTATAAAACATGTTCATGTCATCCCCTGACAGAATTATTCATAAAATTTTAACATGAATCGAAGTGCAATCTGCAAATGGATAAAAAATGAATGTAATTGTAGCACCCTTAATTCTTATTTTCATAATTGTATCAGACTCGGTCCCATTCATATTGATACAAATATTGTAAAAAATAAAGTATTTATTCTAATCGTAAAAATTGTATTTATACTAAATCAGACAAATTTAATCTAAAGAGATACAAATATTATAAAAATAGAGTAACTATTCTAATCGTATTTGTACTTAAATTAGACAAATCTAATCTAAAAGAGTTGCAATTTTATTTTTTATTTTTTTTGTGTACGCAAGTACTTGTGCGGCTCATACATTTGCTATATTAGCAATTTTTATTTCATTTGGTCTAGGGAAAGTGGTGTGTACGCAACTTTATCCCAATCTTTTGAAAGTAGAGAAATTATTTTCAGAACACCCTCAGATCAAATAAAGTACCGATATCTATTGGAAAAAAATATATCTTTCCTATTACTTCGAATATACTTTTAGACAACTGCAAATAAGAGACTTCTCACTTGAGCCAAAACCACAAACAAACAGTAAGATGTTTTCTCAAAACATTTTCAAGCACAAATATATTGTACGCAAAAAAGATACTCCGGAGAGCAATGATCAGAGAAATAATAAGAGTGCATTTAGGAACGTTAAATGTACATTCAAAAACTCTTCGTTTTCTTTCAACAAAAGTTCATAGTTTCTTTACACACTCAACTTTTAACTGGGCCAATTTGACCTTGCTATAACACCATTTTGCATATCTGGCTGGGCAAACATCAGAAGAAGTATACACAATGTCCTATAGAGAAAGATAGATAAAGCATGAAATGCAATCTTTCAATCCTTTATATCAACAATGACTCCTCTGTAAGTATGGTTAAGAGGGAGTACTTCACTTTCATTCTTATCCTACTATCTTCTACACACAGCTTTACACCAGTAACCACCCAGTAACCAGGTGACTCCTCGGGACCTCTTACCATTTCTGTTGTATCAACAAAGTGCAACATCTTTGGCGCTCTTGCTGGTGAAGGTGGACCACCAGGATAAACCGCGGAATTCAAGTCCACCTTTGTTGGCTTCTGGGGTTGGTTTAGCTTTGTACTGAATGGGGTGGTGATCAGCATTGAGATCAAACCTGATTTTCGACATGTGGTTGCTGGTCCTTCCCACTCTGACCGACGGATCTTCGCTGAGGCGACCATTGAGAATCCCAGCCTCAGGAAGAGGACCTTCTTCATTCCAATAACCTTCACCTCAAACCAGGCCTTCGTCACAATAGAAGCAGAGTCATCGATCCGTGTTCCACGGTATTCTACTGGAGCAGTGCAAACATGTGAAAATATGCTCCATTTGACAGGTTCAAGATACCCTCGTTCAACTGGTTCATCGACAGGCTCATAGCTAAGATCATCTGTTAGTTGGATACTTTGAGGAAGTGCTGATAGATGTTGAAGATGGATAGCCAGGTGATCACTCCTTTTACCTTCCAAGTATAACCGAATTCCAGTTACTGGCCTGTTTCCAGAGTCGACCTGCAAATATTAGCAAGAGGAGAAAAAGAAAGATCATTCAGAGCTCCCACCTCAACTAAGATGTCCCCAAAATAACAAACTATCTAATTATAGTTACGTTAATCTTCAGCACTTTAAGATCTTAGAAATGCTGATCATAGAACAAAATCAACAATAGTCACACCTTTTGCGAAAAGTTTATGCTTATATAAAGAAAAAAGAAAGTTGAAGCACAGGTTGCTCTCTGGGGGATAAAGGAGGTAGATTACATATTCCCCAAACACGAGAGTAGAAATTTAACAGGCTCTCAAGGAATTGTTTGATAGGTCAAAATCACCAAGTCGAGAAAATGATCATCTCTACTACTCCAAAATAGATCAAGGAGAAATAACATAAAGGTTTGCCATCAAATCAAAACTCACTATAGAAGTGCACCGTCCTTCTGAATTTTAAAACTAGTACAACAACACTAGTCAATGCACATTCGAAAAGCATAGGAAAGAACTGCTCTTGCTGCATTTCCTTTATTCCTTCCAAGTAAGGGGAAAAGGGTAAATTTTTAACTATAATTGGGTCTCTCTGCTGATAAATATAAAACATCAAAATGCTGCTCTTGAAAATCCTGATTAGAGAAAAAGCTTTCTTGATGTTCTTACACTCTTTAACACATGAAGATATACCTTTACAGTGTTAACATATAGCCTTGGACCCATCAAAGTGAACTGCAAGGATGGAGATGCCTGTTTTCTGCGGCGATGACCAAGAGGAAGATCACCATATGCTGGAGCCCACTGCCGAGGTAACTGAAATTCTAAAAATTGTTCAAGTTCCTCGATTGGCGGTTTATCTGCAAATAAAGAATATTCATTATCAGAGATAAGAAGCAGTTTTTAGTCATGTAGCTCTAAATGAAATAAATGGAAAAGAACTTCACAACTGTTGACACGAAAACAAATTTGATCTTCCTAAACATACAAGGAAGATAATTCTTTCATAGAAGTCATATATGTTTAAACTGTGGGAGGGCTTCCACAGAATAGGAGTGTAATAGTCACATGTTCTGCTCTCACAAAACTGAAGACATTTGCAAAGATCAAGCAAAAAAATGTAGGATTTGTAACCCAAACAATTCTACAGAAGCTGGTGATGGAAACTGAAAACACACATTGAAGCAAGATAACTTCTCCAATTGCCAAAATGCTTGACCCAACTTCTTATAAGATCGTGTGTGAATTTTTGTTCATTGTCCACGTGATAGAACTCTTCATCTGGTTTTGTACTGTTATCAATCCAGCGATGCTTTGTTTTTTCAATGAACTAACGCAGATAGCCTAATTGTATTCCAATACATTCTTATATTTATGAAATACATGAAAAATAGCAATAACTACAACTCAATCCCAAACTTTTTTGTTTAACCAGCTGGTATCCAGAACTCTGACCTGACTAAACCTGATTCGTGTAAACATAGGGTCCAGTTAAGAGGGAAGCATTCCCTACTAGAAATTTTTACATTCCCAGTGCTCGAACCCGAGACCTCTAGTTAAGGGATGAGGGATCCATCCCACCAATATCCCTTTGTGGTGAAATCCCATACTAGTTAATATAAATTATATGTATTCTCAATAGCCATTTCTTTCATTTGGAACAGTCCCACTCCAATATTCAATAGTTCGTTTAGGCAAATTAGGGTTCTCTAATACAACAACAATAACAATAAACTCAGTGAAATCCCACAAAGTGGGAAATTAGGGCTCTCTAATGGCTCATTAATATCTTTTCAAAGATGATCTGTATCATATAGAAAAAAAAATGAATGGTTTTATGTCAGCATCAATTACAACAATCTATTCATCGTATAAGGCTGTATTGCTGCTCAAAAATCCAAATAGATAAGAAGGAAGAGTTCAAAGCAAAAGATAACTGGTAAGTGAATTATCTGTCTGCCTTTATCAGGTAAACTAAGGCTCAGAGCTGATTCTAAAAAGAATATCTCAATTGAAATGCTGTGCATATTATTCCCTTCTCATTTTCCATTCCTTCCGTCTGTTCGTGCTGGAATTTGTAGGGAGAAGAGAATAAGCTAGATCTTGTTGATATTTTGATTCTCATTATATTCACAGGAATAGCCAAAACCTCAGGTATACACGGTGAAGAGCATCATTTCCACCAGAAGAATAAAGCAACAATGAAATAGACATACTCACATCGCAGGTAAAGATTAATTGCATGGCTTAAAAATCCACTGCCCCTTACACCACTCAAAAGTGAAGCGATTGGCACAAACGACATTGATATGGCATTGGGAGACTGTGATACAGTAGGAAGCCACTGACTATGACTTTGACCAAAATCAAGACCTCCTCGGCGGATATGAATACTTAGTAGATCCTGCTTGAAGAATTCAAATCCAAACCCTTTACAAAAAGCTTATCAACAGAACACATAGCAATTCATTTCAGAGGAAACAAAACGAACTTACATCAGCTTTCGAGTGAGACATAATAGATGGTCTCATTGAGTTTGCAAATGGTAGATGCGGATCTGAGAATATTGATTTTTCGCCCTGTCATGTGTAAGAAATTGGAACTCCTGTCAGACTATTTGTTTTGTTTGATCTGTGTAAATAACTTGTAATGAAATTTTACAATGAACAGTGTTTCCATTTTGCTTACCTTTCCTGGAGAAATCCATGGGCATGCCATTATTTACCCTAAGTTTGTTTGACTAACCCATACATAACTTTGTTCCATCACAATTATGACTTGGGGCTTGTAGATTCTCAGTTATATTAAAACAATAGATTTCAATCCCTCAACCCCATTTTGCTTGTGTCCAGCTTTCAGTATTACGTTCTCTTGAAAAGATTGATCACTAGCAATAAATGTTTCTACAAGAATCGGATTTAGCATTACATTGTACCACGACACTATTTCTTTATTAGCCCAATCCAAAAAGGGTGGCACTTAACTAAATTCGCCTCAATTCAGTGCCTAATTTCTTCCACAGCACCCTCTATTAGAAGGCAGACTGTTGTCTTGATTGGGGTAAATTTGGAAAAAGTTTAACTTGAATTTCCCATTTTATCCCCAATGACAAGTCATTCGTAGCAACACAAGTAATAGCAAGTTTCAAAAGTCTTGTGTCCACACAAATGTAATGGTATATTTAAGATCACAAGTTTCAAATGTCTTCCTTTCTATCTTAAACTTGGTGTACAT